CCCCCCCCCCCCATTCAGACCCTCAAGTTAGTACATATATAAATGTTGTTTGATTGAGGTCATTGAGAAAATGTTTATAATATTGTATTTTACAGCACAATCTTGTATATAAACTTGTTTTGATTCAAGAAATTAAAATCCATGTGAGAATATATCTCTATTATGGTCATATTAAAATATAAGCAATCATTAGGTATGCAAATTTAAAGGTACTGATCACTAAAATCTTCTTAGCAACGAAATAATTTTTTGTAAGAAATTAAGAACCTATTAAGATCCTAAATAGCCTAAATTTATGTTAACCACCATTTATGTAAGAACCTGTTTAGGGTAACCCTGGAAAATGTAGGTTCTTACTCGGGGGTTTTTACTGTAATAGATATGTTAATATTGTAGTACTTGCATAAACTTGTATAACGTATAGTAGTAAGCTACACTAACCGCCTCGATAGAAAATGTAAATAATGTAATGTAAATATTATCAATTATTATTATTCGCATTTATTTTTATTATGAAGGCGGCTCGACTCGATTTTTCAGAGGGAATACAGTCAAGTCAGTGCAGTTACAACTTCAGCATTAAAAAATATATCGGAAAAAGGTTACCACAGATGTTTTATGTGAAGATGAAAATTTGTCTTGAGCTATGTTACTCATTGACATCGGAGTTTCCATGGCAACGTAAAGACGTCGTTTGTATTTCTCTGTAACAGAAGTTTTTTTTTTTTCGGAAATCGCTGAAGAGAGCTTGTACCTCCGTTTACTGCCTCGATTATGGGAAAGCGTATTGGGTATAGCTTGAAAAAAAAAAAATGCTAGTGAATAATGAGGTCCCTCACTTGTAAACACAAAACCTGAAGGAACAATTTGTGATATTGGAAGCCCCATTTAATCATTGCCTTTCTTGTCTTCAATGTCCTTGAAACTTGGAGGCGATTTTAATTGATGACTAATCTCGGAATTGTCAAGTTTGTAACAAAAAATATCAAGCGGTTTCCACGTTAACGTGAAAATTATAGGCTTGAACCAAGTTGCATACAAAACAAGAGGGAACTGAACACAACCTAATCAAATTCTTTACTACTTACAATCGGCCAAAGAAACCCCCCTTTTTTGCTTACACAGTTTCAAATGGATGAAACCATTATGAGATAAAACTTCATTTTCAGAGCTTATCATTTTGTTTAGATATTAGCCAATTAAGCCGATGGCATGTTTATTCACTCTTTTTCAGACCCCTAAAACTTCTTTTCAAAATATTCCAAAACGCTCTTATAGAAATTGTTCAAACTTTGCCATAATTGAGTCAGCCAGGGGAGGTACAGGCCTTCTTAAGCGATTTCAGGAAAAAAGGCAAGTAAAAATCGTAATGGCGTCATTGCGTTGCTATGGCAACTCCGATGTCAATAAAGCATAGATCAAGACAAATTTTTATCTGTGGTAACCTTTTCGCGATTTATTTGTTAATGCCGACGTAGTAGATGCTCAAACTTGAAAGGTTAATTGACCATCTAAAAAATCCAGCCGAGCCACCTTAAATGCATGGCCTTCCCCAAGAGTGGCCTTTGAAATATTTTTGGGGCTCACGGATTCAACGTTAAATCCGTGAGCCCCAAAATTAAGCATTGCAAATTTTGTAACGCAGGATTATAGTCATATCCTGCACGCATATTTTGTGGTGTTTCTTGCTGTTCACACCCGTACAGGAACGTGATTTTGTCTTAATCATTAGGTCTAAAGTTAGTTCCTTAGCTCTATCTTGTTATACTCCTTGATGAGGTCTGTGTGATCAGACGAAACCGGTCGGAGAAATAAATCAAGTAAACAAGATCCAAGCATTGCTTTGTGCTGCTCACTAGTGTTTATCTAACAAATTTTAAAAAAATTTTACTTGTTTCAGTTACAAAAATTGAAAATCTCATCTAAACTTGCAACAAAATCTACGGTACAAAATGCATTTATTACAATAGCAGTATTTATACGGTAGAGAAAAAGATTTACGCTACGAATATACATCCGAGTTTAAGAAATCTTGATTACCTTTGATTAAAATTCTACTTAATATTTCTTTTAAAAATGAATTCGTCTCTTAATTAATATCGTTATCTACTGATGTTCATGCCCGGAAAATAAATGAGCATTCAACATCGAGAAGAGGGACGAAGAGGCTAGATATACTCACTCTCACTACATTAAACAAGAGCGACGGTTTGATTCTTTTGTTGTTGTTGCATTTTTGCTAAAGGCACAACCGATTTCTACGAAATTGGTGATTTCAAACGGATCCATCACTCTTATAGGTTGATGAAATGACTGTAAAAAAAGTTACTGGTGAAACCACTAGCCTCTGATTTGTATAGAGGCAGACGATAAAAGCGCTACTTTATTTGTTATAGGTCAAGCTATTTAAGGCAATTTCGCAACGTACCAAATTTGTGATCACAGGTTTGACTGAGTAAGAAAACAAGTTATTCAAGGCATAAAGAAATACAAGAGAATTACAATCAGGCAACGCAAATTAAAATGATCACGGGGCCGGTTTATCAGAGTTCTAGCCTGAATTTCAGACATCTCTTTGAGTAGCACACTCCTCTCAGGGATGACGTCTCTGAGATAGCCTGCGTAACTGGTGGGATTAGCGGGCGAGTGCTGTAGTTTTGGCGAAGGAGCTGAGTGAAGATTGAACCACTTGCTTCATGCACAAAAGTGTCCCTGGCACAACAACCCCGCCGGCTCCGTCTCCACAACTACAGCACTCGCCCGCTAATACTGCAAGCAAGGCAAGCTATCTTTGAGAAGAGTATGCGACTCCGAGGGATGTCTGAAAAACAGGGCACTATTTATCCTCATTTAGTGTTAAATTTAAACTATGGTTCTTTTTCTCAGCGGTATATTGGTCCGGGACTTCAAAAGAAAATACTCACAATTTACAGCTGTTGCAAAATTTTCCTACCCGTATTTCAACGAGTACTAAAGAAAATTTATCATATATTTCACCTATACTGAATGAACTCGGTTGGTTCAGCATTATTGATGAACTTCTGAAATTGTGTGACGCAACTATTATTTACAAATGCATAAACAGTCTACTCCAACCTATTAGCTATTCATTTCAAACGGTCTGACACTGATGATCATTCAAATAACTCAAGAAACAAAGACCATCTCAGTTTACCTATGTGTAGCACAACGTGGCCTCTGTTATAGAGCACTTAAAACTTGGAATAATCCCTCTGTTGCTACAATGGGAATGTGCTCGCAAACAATGTATAAATTTTATTAGTGATGGTTTATTGATATATTTACGGGGGAGATTTTAATGTGAATAAGTAAATTTGTAATGTGTCGTTTAATAAGAATGTGTGATAGATAGATCTTCCATTTTTCTACTCGATGTAAATTAATTCTGAAAAGTCCCTTTGGGACAATTGATGTATTGTATTGTAATTGTATTGTATTGCTTGGGTATCACCTTATTATTTAAGAAAATGAATTTTCTGCAACAATCTGTGCTTAATGCCAAGGAAAACAGGTAAGATAACTAAAAATACGTCTTTAAGAAAAGGAGTAAGCTGCGACAGGGAAAGTTATAACTATACCGATTATTCAAGAGCTGGTTAGTACAACTTTTTTTCAATCCCTCAAGGCCAGTTATCTCCGTCCACGAGACACTGCCTGTCTTGATAATGTTTAATAAGATAGCTCCACATTTCACAAACCTCTAGCAAATTCTTATTTCCTGAAAGAAAGAAAAAGAGAGAGAAACTTTCTATTACTCTAAAATGCTGGCCACATTACTTATACATAGTTTTGTTAATTAGCGTCTTGGCTTCGATTGCATGTCCAGAATACGTACCAAATAGCGTTTGCCCTAAAACGATACATTTTATGGCCAAGAAATGGTCGACGATTCTACGCAGAAGCATGGTAGGTGTACATTATATTTGTAGCTCGTCTCAGTCTTTAATGGCTACTAGTACGGGTTAAACAATTTGGGACTTAACCATATTTAGGAGCACCCAACGATGGTTTTCCCCTTTAGTTAACATATTGAAAAACCTTTTAAGGCTATCAAGAATAATTTCCTTTTTTCTGCGAAAAAAAGCCTAACGTGGGGAGTTGATGTGAAAAATTAAACTTTAGAAAACCGTATACGTAGGGTTTATAAGCTTAGAATTGCACATGGATGGAATGGTCATCTAAAAATTGTTAGCCGTCCTCAAGTAACAGAAAATTCTAGGCAACATCTACTTCTCCGAACAGATATTTTACAGAAAACAATCGTTGGGTGCCCTTGTATATTTTCTTACCGATGATACACAGGCCTCGTTTTGCTCTCGTCAAAGCAACGTTGATCTGGTGTTCGTCAGTCACAAATCCTAGTTTTTCTCTTAGCCACCCGCCGTTTGGCTCATGATCGATTTGAGATTCTGGCAAAGACCGAACCAGTGATATGATCACAAAGTCGTTTTCACTGCCTAGGGGAAAATATTAACTTGATGAATGAAACCTGGTATTGGTGACCCCCCAAATCCAAGTCAAGTTAAAAGTATCATTCCACCTTCACAAAATGGCTTTCCCTGTCCGTACGAAAATAAAGGACAGGAGTAGTATTCAAGTTTCTGAATTTGAAGGGTATGCGATAAAAATATCCTCGTGAATGCTTTTGTCTGCCAAAACTACTATCATATTACAACGAAATGTTGTAAGTTTTTGTCGTCACCCCTATCCCCTAGCCATATATTTAGCCTGTGGTATATTATACTAAGCCCGCGTTACGAGCCGGGAAGCAGCGAAAACCGAAAACGAGGCGGGAGTTGGAAGTCTGCAGTGAGCAATGGCTAATTGGCGAGCACGAAAATGCATATTAACTATATCAATTTTAACAAAATTAACCGTTTCGGCAATTATACTAATCTCATAGGGCCGCCCTTGAAACGAAAGGCTCTTGGCGCCTTCCATTCAACCCCGGTTCAGGGTACATCAAATGGAATGGACCATTTCGGTTTGATCCGACTAGAATATTCGAGACCAGCTCTGAGGTGGTCGACTTTGACCGGTCATTTCGGTCAATTCGAACGAAATTTCCCTTTCCATTTGTCAAAATTGTTGTCCCCAGTACATCTCGTTTATATCCTGCTTACAAGAACAATTACCGAACGCGTAGAGGCTTGGTTCAGGTCTGCGCAACCGGAATGTACCGTTCCATTCGGCGCGTGAAATTTCCGAAATTTCCGAAATTTCAAACGGGAATTTTTGTTGCATGGAAAGTGCACAGTCTACTTTCAACTTGATGTTTTATTACCCCCCCCCCCCCCCCCCCCCCCCCATAGGCACAACCGATTTCTACGAAATTGGTGATTTCAAACGGATCCATCACTCTTATAGGTTGATGAAATGACTGTAAAAAAAGTTACTGGTGAAACCACTAGCCTCTGATTTGTATAGAGGCAGACGATAAAAGCGCTACTTTATTTGTTATAGGTCAAGCTATTTAAGGCAATTTCGCAACGTACCAAATTTGTGATCACAGGTTTGACTGAGTAAGAAAACAAGTTATTCAAGGCATAAAGAAATACAAGAGAATTACAATCAGGCAACGCAAATTAAAATGATCACGGGGCCGGTTTATCAGAGTTCTAGCCTGAATTTCAGACATCTCTTTGAGTAGCACACTCCTCTCAGGGATGACGTCTCTGAGATAGCCTGCGTAACTGGTGGGATTAGCGGGCGAGTGCTGTAGTTTTGGCGAAGGAGCTGAGTGAAGATTGAACCACTTGCTTCATGCACAAAAGTGTCCCTGGCACAACAACCCCGCCGGCTCCGTCTCCACAACTACAGCACTCGCCCGCTAATACTGCAAGCAAGGCAAGCTATCTTTGAGAAGAGTATGCGACTCCGAGGGATGTCTGAAAAACAGGGCACTATTTATCCTCATTTAGTGTTAAATTTAAACTATGGTTCTTTTTCTCAGCGGTATATTGGTCCGGGACTTCAAAAGAAAATACTCACAATTTACAGCTGTTGCAAAATTTTCCTACCCGTATTTCAACGAGTACTAAAGAAAATTTATCATATATTTCACCTATACTGAATGAACTCGGTTGGTTCAGCATTATTGATGAACTTCTGAAATTGTGTGACGCAACTATTATTTACAAATGCATAAACAGTCTACTCCAACCTATTAGCTATTCATTTCAAACGGTCTGACACTGATGATCATTCAAATAACTCAAGAAACAAAGACCATCTCAGTTTACCTATGTGTAGCACAACGTGGCCTCTGTTATAGAGCACTTAAAACTTGGAATAATCCCTCTGTTGCTACAATGGGAATGTGCTCGCAAACAATGTATAAATTTTATTAGTGATGGTTTATTGATATATTTACGGGGGAGATTTTAATGTGAATAAGTAAATTTGTAATGTGTCGTTTAATAAGAATGTGTGATAGATAGATCTTCCATTTTTCTACTCGATGTAAATTAATTCTGAAAAGTCCCTTTGGGACAATTGATGTATTGTATTGTAATTGTATTGTATTGCTTGGGTATCACCTTATTATTTAAGAAAATGAATTTTCTGCAACAATCTGTGCTTAATGCCAAGGAAAACAGGTAAGATAACTAAAAATACGTCTTTAAGAAAAGGAGTAAGCTGCGACAGGGAAAGTTATAACTATACCGATTATTCAAGAGCTGGTTAGTACAACTTTTTTTCAATCCCTCAAGGCCAGTTATCTCCGTCCACGAGACACTGCCTGTCTTGATAATGTTTAATAAGATAGCTCCACATTTCACAAACCTCTAGCAAATTCTTATTTCCTGAAAGAAAGAAAAAGAGAGAGAAACTTTCTATTACTCTAAAATGCTGGCCACATTACTTATACATAGTTTTGTTAATTAGCGTCTTTGTGCTGCCGGCGTGGCAGCGTGTAAAGTGCAGCCCGCGCGTGGGGATAATTGTGTCAATGTTCAAATATGACCAAAGGACTTTATTGCGATGTGGGAAGGACGCCCTTCAGCTTTAAACTTAGGTTTTACCCCCCCCCCCCCCCCCCCCCACCAAAAAAAAAAAAAAGAAACATACCTTGGCTCTTTACAATCGAAGTTACTGACACTTTCGATATGCCATTGGCAGCGAGGTCTTTTTCAATTATATGACATTGAGCGCGGTAAGGACTCAAAACGGAAATTTGATTTTCCGTTACCACATCTTTTCCACAAGCCAGCAGTTTTTTAAGCACCTCCACCTGAAAAGAACAACAAAAAATACAACAAAAACAACAACTAAGTTGTAAGGTGGTTGTCGTGTTGTCCTTTACTCTCTTACAGCATTGAAATCATTTCCGTTTATAAACTCAAGCTCAATTCATATAATAATAAAAAAAAGAACTAAGTTATCTCAGTGAAACTCTGTTATAATGAGCGAATTACCAAGAGGATTTCTTTCGTCATACTGGTAGAAAGATTCTCACTGTATCATTACAAAATTCTGATAATTCACAAAACAAGGAAAACACGCCCTATCTTGAGAGGCCGTTATACTGAAAGCGTTTGAGAAGGATTATCAAGATGTTTTTTAACTATGACGTTATATCTTACCGGCTATACTTACGTCCGAGTTCCCAAATTTTTAATTTTTCCTCAGAACGCTCATCTTAACTCACCACTTTGGCTTTCTCCTTGACATTACTCTTGGATTTTTCATGGCCTTCCTCTGCTGTCACCACCAGCTCTTCCTCTTCGCCAACAACATTGCAAAATACCAAGGGTACGTAACCTGTTTCACTGTGACTTGGCCAAAACTGAAGAAAGTCTCTGCTCACTCTTGCTGTTTGTTCCCGCTTGTTAACTGAATCCGCGGTTTTCAATTCGCTGCTGTAAAAATGCTCTGAGGGAAACTCGCAGATGTCCTTGTGCTGAAAAGAATAGAGTAGGCTTCAGTTTTTGCTCACTTTTGGGTCGGGAAACACGAGAAGTTAAGAGGCAAATAGTCGGTTCAGTACAAACAGACTGGCCTTTTGGAGGAAGAATTGGTCATAAACTTTCGGGAGAGTCGCAGTACATGAACGAGAGAGTTGTTCCCGACATCTTTCGCCGGTCAAGCATATGACTTATGATTGTTGCTGTAACATTCAGCTCTGCTGGTCTCCGTCAAGATGAAGACATAATTAACATGGCTCACTTACCATTCTGTACTGTTGTTTAAGCATAAATGCCCGATCGGCGTAACGTTCGAACAGAGACTTGTTTAGTCCAAGCGACTTTGCGACCTTGTTCTTCACAATTGGTTGAAGCTGCATGTGATCTCCAATTAGAACCACTTGATACGCGCTTGACCAGTGAATCGGAACAAGAGTTTCTGGCTCCAGACACATGGCACATTCGTCCACTATACACTGAATGATGTTATTACAGGCATCTCTCACTCTTTTACTTCCGGCCACACAGCAGGTGCAGAGAACAATCTGATGGTAACTGCTGTTACACACGCTTCTAAAAACCCACCTTTCGGCTTCTTTTATCACCTTTGATAAGTAAGGATACAGAAGTGTTATTGACTACGTGTGAAGTCAAGATGGCTGGATATTGGCCAACAATGCAAGTTCCTTTTTGAAAAAAAAACAAGAAGCGAAGTCGAGACCAATAGAGACTTCAAAAAAGAGAACCAGACTAATATCCAGCGAAAATCACCGAACAAGTAGGATCAATAAAGGGTGTTTTTCTCGCGGGATCAAACCGAGCACATGCAGTCAGATCTCAGGATTCGCTTCATCTAACCCGCTCCCGGAAAAAGCCATAAAATAATAGATGATACTACTAATATCTGGGTCCTAGAGCTTATTTTTCCCCACATTTTAGCAAGTGCTGGTAAGAAAAAATGGTATTAAGGATGCAGGTCTCGCATGGACGGTTACCTTTCACACGGCTGTAGGAACTGTAGGGTTTCGTCCGGAAAGGCAAAGTTCAATTATCTCAGACAAATGAAGACTTATCCTAATGTAATTATAACCAGAGCAGACGAAATAGACTGCTTGATAGCAGTGAAATTTTTATCATCATTAAGTACTACTTACTAGGTTTAACCTACTAGGTTTCTTACTTAATCAGTCAAAAGCTTCAAATCTTCCAATAGCTTACATACGTCTAATATGGCAGCGATAAGATCTTTAAACGTGCTTGTCTGATATAGTTAGTATTCCCTTTGTGTGGAGAGAAGCTGACTGTTTATTAAGTTTGGGTTTTTTCACGTTTATCATAAAATATCATTTGATTTCGTGAAAAATGTACACGCAATAAACAAGTCAATGTATCAAAGTTCACAGTTTATGCATTGCAATCACATTTGAAATCAGCACTATTGACACAACCTGCAAATATTCCTCCACTATCTCGTCTGCCACTTTTTTCTTTGCTCTCCTCTTTCTGGCAAAGAACTTCTCATATTCCTTCAGCAGCCGTGCCTTTGGTGACCTTTCTTCGTCTCTAATTACATGATGCAAGGAAAAAGGTCTCAATTTTTTGGGAACTTTGTGGACAGAAGTTTGTCGAATGCTTTTCACTTGATTTGGAACCGGAAACTCTTCTTCTTCAATTACGTTTCCGTATACTCGGAGGATCCGAATGCCCTTGATCTTCATCAAATACTCTAGAGAACAAGTACATCTTTAAATTAATAAACGAGTGAATGTTTCAGAAATATAATAATGTTGGATGGATGGATAGTTGGGTGAATGAATGGATGAATGAAAGGATGGATGGATGCATTAGTTAATGAGCTAAATAAATGGCTGAATGACCAAAGTTTATTAATAAATGAAGGGCCGAGGAGAGGGTATAACACAATTTCAATCTATTCCAAGACAATACTTTATGAAAACCAACCCACCTGCAACAACGTCTACCGATTTGTTCGAGGGACCACAATACAGGACCTGCCGAGGGGCTGTATCTGGAGTTTGGTCTCTTGGTGTGTCCGCTGGAGGGTCGTCACGAAAGTTTAATTGCGAAAACCAGTAGGCGATATGAACTCCTGTTACGGTTTTTCCAGTTCCTTAAAGATGAATTTGAAGACTTACATTAAAAATCAAATGTCAACGAGTATTAGGAGATGGCCCTTTTTGGCACAGACTGCAATTTATGATAGATGACCCGCAAAAGGAAAAGGAACCCATTTGTTTTAACACGAACCCATTGTTGGAAATGAAACACATACACGCAAAATGGCTTGTGACAGTGGAAAGGATCAACACCAGGGGAAAAACAATACGCAAACAAGAAAAACGAACATAACGTCCTTGCCAATATAATAAGAAAAGGGGTGGGGTGAGGTTGGGACGGGACTGAAACTACATTATGACTTTTACAAAATACGTCCTTAGTTAAGTTATACTTAGAGACGATAGCCAAAACTACCTGGTGGTCCTTGAATAAGAGTAAAGCGCCCTCTCAATGACCTTCTTACAGCCGTCACTTGATCGTCGTTGAGATGTTGCAGCTTGCAGTCACGATCATGGTCGGCAATCGAGAGGCTTTCATTTGGTAAACCAATTCTGAGGCCTTAGAATTAGATAAAAAGCAGTGGGCTAAACAATATAATAAAAGAAAATCAGCCAAGCCTATGAGCAGTATTTCGATCAATTTTTCCAGAAAAGCCCTGCAAACGAGGCTGTAGAGCAATTCAAGCAATTACGCGCTAGAACCACACTTATTGATCCAATTAAACATCACATTAATGAGCAATGAACATTTACTTTGCTGCAGGAGCAATAACCGGTCTCAGTATGCCAAGTTTTTCTCTTATTATTTTAGCTTATCTCACAAACATTACACCAAAACATTAATACTTGAGACATTAAAATCCGAAATTGTTTATGACCACTACAAAATAATTAGTGGCCCTTTTTTCGTCCTGTGTCAATTTTGCATATTCATAATATTCTACGAGAGAATCTTGAACCTTTGGAAGGAAGGATACTTATCATTTGTTACTAGAATGCTAAATATAGGTACCTCTAGGCAATCATGCACGTGAAAGTAACTCTCTTACGTGGGAAAATAACATAGCTCTTTACTCACCTGGTAATCGTGGTGCTTTTCCTAAGCAGATAAGGCGTGCAAGCTCCGTAGCCCTTTGTAGATCACTCAAAGTCGAAATCATTCGCCTAGAAATAAACAGAGAACTCGCAATCTAATAACAAATGGTCCAAGTATTAAAAAAAAAAATGATGAAACAGTTTTTTGCTGACTCTGTTATAGACTTTGAACAAAGTCCTCTCGTGAAGTCGACTTGCGGCAGATCTAGGTTTCATCATGGTGGAAAGTGTACTTAGCGTATCTGACTAGTTTACAACAAGTGTAACTACACTGCACCTCGGCTTGGCAGCGACCACAGAGCTGTGCATGTTGTGACAAAGATCGAAAGTATGTATGAATATGTAAGCTTAACTTTAAAACAAAAATATCTTCCTTACGTAGGTGTATTGATTTCTTTTCGCCAAAAACACAATCAAAATGCTTTGTCAGGGATCCAGTGATGCAATGAGTTCTACGACCTTCTCGAATCATTTGTGGGAGCATATAGAAACTCTGAATGTCACTACTTGGCATTTTAATGTTTATACACTCACTGTTTTTGTATCACTTGCTGCACTTGCTCGTTTGATTTTTGCCACATCTACCCGTGCATAAATGCCATTTACTTTCCACGAAAAAATTCGTAGACATTATTTAATATATACCAATGAAAAGGAGGATTTTTTAATTTTCATAACCGCGGACATGCATTTCGTGATTGTTGTTTTTTCACAACCCGCACAGCGCCGCAGTAGCGTTGCATGATCGCAGCCGAGAGCAGTACACTCGCTGTAAATCAGCCCACGTAACTGCAACTAAGCAGCTTAAGTGAGACCTTTTCTTTATAGAAATTCGGTACACTTAAATTTCACACAAACCTTACGCAAAAAGGAGTGCTCATCGATAGAATTTATCGCATTAAACACACACAGAAAATTTCAATCTCAACGCACCACATAAGGCACCTCCGGTTCTCACAAAACTACGAAAAATAGGTTATTCTTTCTCCAAAGACACTGAATTAACGTAGAAACAACTTTACGCCATACATTCCTATGTAGCGACTCGCAAACGGCGGCTGCAAATGTAGCAGTGAAACTTCGGTGCTTAAAAAAAGTTAGAATCTGGCGGCCGCACAGGTCATCTTGAAAATAAGATAAATTTTTAAAGAGACTTTCCTTAAAACTCACGACCCACTTTCCGAACGGATAATGTTGAGAAGCTAAAAGCAGATGATTGCTTACAACTTCAAGTATTCAGAAAGATAAGCGTGGAAATGCGAAAGGTAGCAAAGTAGGTATCAAGATAAACAGTGCACTTAGCTTATCAAGCCATTTTACAGGCACTCCACTCAAATGCTTAGAAACATTGATATTATACAAATAGAACATATCAGGATTTAAAATCCTAAGTGATAGAAAGCAACCAGTTAGGATTTTACAAGCGTGGCCGAGGATTTGTACTCGGGATTTCACGTCTATTGAATTCTGTATATACCGTCAAAAACAAGGCCGTTGTCCTGCATATCGAAAGAATTAAAACTCTTGCCACAGGTCTAAACCATTTCACAAGTGTATACTAGGCTGAGAGAAAGGAGGTTCATGCAATTTACTAAGAAAGTTCTAGAGACGAACAGGCATTCTTTATTGGTGCTTTAAGAAAAAAATGCCTAGAGAATAATAAGAGGTTCATAGGTTTGAAAGTTCACGACATCCCTTTCAGGCCTAACACTGGAGCTCAGTGTAACGTCATCCCACAAATTATTTGTAAGGAAAAGGGTTGTGTGGTTGACAGTAGAAGGTGGTCAAAGCTGTCTCCTATTCAAACCATGAAATCATGTGAAGAGACAAAGTCAAGAATCAACTGTGTCGGATGGAAAGGATGGGCACTATCACTACAACTGAGCAACCCATCAAGTGGGTCAACCCAATTTTTGTAGTCCGAAAGCCGCATCGGGAGATGTTCGTATCTGCCCTTATCCTGTTGATATGAATAAAGCGGTTAAAAGAGAGCATTGCCCCTCGAAACCGATGGGAGAGGTAGCCACAAAAGTCAGAAGCGAAAGTTTGATAAGTTGGTGTTCTACCAGATCAAATTGGGCGAGAACTTGGCTTACTACTACGTTTAACATGCCGTTTTTAGGTTTAAATTTGAAAGGTTGCCATGTCTGATATCCGCCCAAGGATCTTTTGAAAGAGCCATGATTAATATATCACGACACAGAGAAATGCAAAGTTATTGTTGATGATTTCCTAATGCGAGGAAAGAATACAGAGGATGGTGATCACACATTGATCATGATCAATACTTTGTTCACAGGTTTTGAACAGAGTATTGGGTGGGGAATTATTTAAAATTCCATGAGCAAAAGCGCATGTTTCACAGGCAGGAAGTTAAAATGTGGAATATTTTTCGGGACTGATGGTTTAAGATCCCCAACCCGGACGGAATTCAAGCCATTTTGAACATGCCATTTCCACAAGGTCGCAATGATTAATATATATGCTGAATGACCTGCATAAGTTCATCTCCAATTTAGCTTGCATTTACAATCCACTTCATGAGCATTTGGAAAAATTATTGAAATGGTAGTGGATGGAAGCACAACAGAAAGCATGACAAGAAATGATCGCTTAATATATCACCTAAAGTGGACAAGCATTCATAAAACTGCTTCTAAAGCCAGGGAAAAACGACGTTTCCTTGGTCGGTTCTCGGATACCTAGTTTTAGTTACTTGTAATGGCTCACTTTAATGTGAGTTTAACTTTTTCACTATGATGTTATTGTCTTCGGCATCTGCACACCTCACGATTGCATTTATGCAGCTATGATAAGAAGTAAACAAAAAACTCTGGTTGTCTATGTCACCGCAGCGCATTAAGCAAACGATACTTCTTGAACAACAGGAGGGTTTTAAAGTCAAGAAACAACCTGGTGACCAATTCCTCTTTCAGATACCCTTAGCAATGCTGGTCAGTTGGAGTCTGTATCACAGGAAGACGAGTTTCAACTGTCTGTTTGTTAAATGTTGATCGTCTTAATACTCCATATAATATGCGAAATGAGAAAATCCATGACAGTCACTATGGGATGGAGAAATGCAGAGCTAAAGAGAGTTTGTTCTGGCCCAATAAAAGCAAGGACGTTGAAGTAAATGTTGCCAGTTGTGGATTTCGTGTAAAGAGTATAATAGCGCTTTTACTGTGTGCAGTACTGTACGGTACTGTTTATATGTTATCGAAACAAACAGCTCATTTCTTCCCTTACAGCTGGGTTGGGTAAGGTGTGGACTGAGGAACCAGAGGTCCGATCAGACATCAGTGTATTGAACGACCACTTTACTCCCGCTCCATTCCAGTTCTGTGCTTACTTTGCCTGCCTGGACGGCCGAATTCAGATAAATCACATAAAAGAGGGTTCTACATTCCCTCTTCTTCTTCAAAATAGGCATAGAAGTGCCAACGTCTTAGCGCAATGACGTTTTCATCTAATCTGAGGTAAGGTCCTGGTCACACCCATCATGATTTCACCAGTTTCTTATGGACGCTGGCAAAGTTCCGGTCGGGGAAGATCAGTAGATCAGCGCTCTCGACAAATTTGCTAAACGGGCAGCACTGTATGTACGACATGGTACTGTAAATGACATACAGTAAATAAAAAATCGTTTTAGTAAAAGTCTGGACGTTTGGAGATGCATTTAACGCCTGACAATAACTACCTGAACAAAAAAACCCTATTGGTTGCAGGCTAGTAATAATAACCTGAAAGGAATAGTCTGTTTTATTATCTCCACGGTACAAATCCAGCTGCTTCTCTTTTCTAAAAGATCCGTAAATTCCATTGAATGTTGAAAGAGCTTAAGGGTGAAGTTCATCTGTTGGCTGCCAGGTACAATAATGTTGCAGTGACCAACCCAGCAGGTCTTTCTCGATGCTTGGTTCCTTTCTATTTCATCCCAAACGTCGTCATTTTTTCCACATTCTCCGCGGTATTCAGAGGACGTACTTAACTCGTTTTCGCTAAAACGGGATGGGCTATGCAAGGCTCCTGAGCATGACTTTGGGCAAGCAAATCTTACGCAAGCATAATCTCCCGTGAAAATCTCGATTTGTCTTGTTTTACAGTACTTCTCTTCGAGTCGAAACTCTCCGACAAATTTACCACTTTCATCCTCCCTCCATTCCACTTCAAGGTTCTGGAGAGTGAACGTATCGTCATTCTTTACGGCAACTGTCGCGGCTTCCATAGCAACTATTGGCCTCCAATCATAAACATAGGCGTTAATGGATTTATAAAATTGCTGAGAATCTTTGCCTGATGCAGCCGTTACGAAACATTTATCGGATAGCTTTCTGTGCTCAAGGCAGACGTTGATATTGGGTGATAAGTTGAAACATTGCACTTCAGGTGAGATAAATGCTTCAGCGTTGCTTGCTGAGAGTTGTATGCTGACACTGTCACCAACTTGAAGAACCAAGGATGTCTCTACGAAGTGCACGTTCTTGATCTCATTATTTGACGTCGCGGCCAACGTTTTTCTTTCACCCCTTTCCTGATTATCCTTTGTTGTCTTATCGTTCTTCTTGTTTTGTTCTTGATAGTCCAACTCATCGTCAGAATCCTCGTTATAGTCATCGTTATTTTCATATTCTTTATCAAAATCACTCTCTTCATCTGTATCATCATCGCAATCACCACGGCCATCATCATCATCATCATCATCCTCTTCCTCTTCATCATCACCATCATCATCATCGACGGCATCGTCATTATCACTATCCATGTCGTATTCATGGTCTCCATGGTATACCTCTTCACAGTATGGGTTTTCCGTGATTCCCTGTTTCTCAATCCTTCTTATTAATGTGTCTATTTCTTCTAAACTTGCGTTCAATCCTTTATCATCGTCATTTTTAATGGCATGCAAAACGCGGTGCCAGAGATCTCCAGGAATGTTGTATGACTTACACGTTGACCGTTCACAAAGCAAAGACAAAATCTTCTTCCAGTCTTGTCGGAGACTGCGACCTTGAGCCTTACTTGAGAGCCGTTTTGACCGTTCAACATTCTTTGTAGAAGCATCATACATTCTAAACTTCCACTTCAGTTGTACAGTTTGAAAAGACTCGCCTAGTTGCGGTTGCTCAACTGGTCCAAGGTGACTTATTTTAATTTTCCTTTGTTTTGGAGAGAGATACTGATGTATCTCTGACATAAGATGCAAGCTAAGGAAATCCTCTCCAATCATTTCAACGACAGCGGTAAACTCACAAGTTGCAATCTTGAGTTTTTCCGCCACTTGGACCCGGCCGCAATCTTTCTCAAAAGCCGTTGATCTGTCAGACAGATATCCACATCGGCGAACAACTTGGGCAACTTCGTCTACCGCTGGGTCTTGACTCGCAGGTTCATTAAGCAACAAACGATGGGCCAAAATGTCAAGGTAACGACGAATAGGGGAGGTGAAGCGAGTGTACCCACGAACATTTAAAGACCAGTGTACCCGGTGCTCCTCTTCCACTTCAGCCGCTCTTACATCCTCAGCTTTACTTGTTACATAATTAAGAAAAGAATGGGCGACTGCAAGTTGAGGGTAGACATTATCGTTGCAAAGCAGAAGTTTCAGATCTCTATTATTGCGATGGCGCCGTTTATTACAAATGTCGCTCCACGTAGACTTTGGCATGACAAATGATTGCATGGAATCAAGATCTTGAATAGAAGCCAAATGTTTACTAAGAGAAAGCGAAAACTTGGCAAAGTCCCCAAAATTCTCACGCCATTCTTCCAGCTTACGTCTTTTTGGTGGAAGCTGGATTCTCAACGGCGAGAGCCCCGGTTTTTCGGTAAGAAGGTATTTGGCCACAGCGGTATTGGTCAGGATCATCATTTCTTCAACCATTTCGTGAGCCTCAAAGTCTTGCTTTCGTTCTGGGTATTCAAAATGAAAGAACGATGCATCGGAAAGACGAATTCTCCGTCTCCTCTGGGCTAATAAACTTAAGCCACGTATACTTTTTTCTATCTCGAACGTCAACTCTCCATCCCCGGAACTGCAATGAACAGACTCTCCAAGAATTATTCTCTGCGCTTGTGTATACGTCAAACGGCATTGCGAGGTTACAATCGTTCGACAGAAGTCCAACGTTCCTTCGTCTTGAATACGACCTTCTTGGTCCAAAGTGATAAATATAGAGATCGCAAGCCGATCTTGTTTTGGCAGCAGACTGCAAATAGAATGGCTTAGCTCCTTTGGAAGCATGAGGACTTCTCCGCCACGGTGCCCTTTCAAGTAACTAAGTCCTCTCTTTTGAGCTTCCTGGTCGATTTTACTTCCTTCTTGAACAAAATAAGACACGTCAGCGATGTGGATGCCGACTTTGTAGAGACCATTTTCTAGTTCTTCGAGAGTTAAGGCATCATCCAGAGCTTTACTTCCGGGAGGGTCAACTGTAAAAGAGTTCAATATATGTCGACGGCTCTTTTTTTCATAGAAAGGGACATTCGACCAGTCCCTGGTGTGTCTTTCCACCTCTTTAGTAACTTCTTCTGGAAATTCTTCTTTCAGATTATATTCATTTTGGAGCAGCTTGAACGCGTCTGTAAGATTCTTTCCTCTGGGGATCGTCTTGGTCACTATTCCCAGAGGGTAAGGAAATTCAGATCTCCACTGTAAATATTGGACTACAAAGTAATGAAATGGTGAATTCCGAAGAAATTCCCCATCTTGAAATTGTGCGTGACGAAAAAGTAGACGAACATAAGCAAACATTTAACCTTGTGGTGCTTATCTAAGCAGCAATTCCAATCGATAGCCCCGGTAACTAATGTTTATAGGAAACATTAGCCTCGGGTTTTCCCTTGACATCGTGCACACAAACTGCCGTTCACGGAGATTGATCGCATGATGTCGAATACCGCATACTGAACCTTTCAGTTTTGCAGATCCTTGTGGCTCTTCACAGTTGTTGGAAGGTTTTTCCAACAGCTTAACTACAATGACATCTCGATCAAAGCTTTGTCGTGTGTTTCCTTCGAGAATAATGTCTTCGCTATCAGAGTCTCGTAACTCGCCATACGCAGGTCTCTCTCTATCGAAGTTAACTCTTAATGTGCATTCGCGATAGTTTTCAGGGTCTTTATCTAACAATCGATCAAGATATTCCGTTTGTAGTCGCTCCTGATCGTGCGCATTACGTTGGCTTATAAGCCGTTCGGTGCGTTCGCTGTACTTATATTTCATGTTGACCAGAGAGATGTTAACTTTCCCTCTCTTTGTTGTAATCTTAAAATCTCCGTGAACTATTTTAGTTCCAGTGGTCGTATTATCTATCTGCTGTTCTTGAACATCATGAAGCTCCAACTCATCTACGTCTTGTTCTGTGCAAGAATCTAGTTTTCTTGTTTCCTCTGTGTTCTCTTCACTCTTCGCCTTAGCTTTGAGCTTTTGATTAAGTGCTTTCTCCTCACACTTTTTCTTTAGGGCCTGAATGATAGGATCCATAGATTTCGGAGGAACAGTTTCGTCAACGTTGTCAAATTCTGCGAAATCATCAGCGTTACCGTCATTTTCAGACAGCTCGTCACTTGCATCAGTAGAGTCGAGTGCACTTTGATCTAAAACATGATGCTTGGCAACTTCAGAAAGGTCGTGCATTTGAGAAAAACGGCTCGCCTCATTTACAGGTGACGAGTTATCTTCTATTTCTAAAGGTGTATCCAAACAATTTTCAAGGAAACGAGATGACGAATCGCTAGCATCTTTGGAAGACTGCAGAATGGTGGCAGCTGTCTTTGTTGGCACAAACTCGGACGCGTTAATGTTTAGACCACTTTGGGAAATACTTTCTTCCAACTCAGCGTGCTCAATACCAAACAAGTTTCCGTCATCGCTGCATCGCTTGATAAACTCTTCCCATAATCCTTGGCAATTACCCATGGTTCTCAGTGAGAAGGGATCACCGACTACTGCAATGAGTGACTGGGCACGAGTGAGAGCGGTGTTGAGCAACTTTGGGTCTGACAGAAAGTACAAGTAAGGTTTCTCGGTCGAACTGTCATCGACAATGCGTGACTCCTGGCTTGAATGAAGAGTACGAACTGTACTGACGAACAGAGCTCGGAATTGTTTTCCTAATTAAAAAGGAATGCATAAATTCAAAATTAAAAGAGGTCCTGAAAAGGGAACTAAAGCAGCTAGAAAAAAAAAATGTTCTCTTTTCCAAAAATTTCCGATTAAAACACAGGTTACGTCAGAACAGAGCAAGATTAACAATAACGTTTAAAACCTCCTTTAATTGCATTGTCTTTGAATAAAGCAAGGAGGAGGAGTAGAATGAGATATAAGAGTTTCTATTAAAACTACTGTTAGCTGCTACTGCTGCTACTAATACTGCTACGATGGCGCTCCTACAAATTGAGCAAAAGCGTGGCCAAATTTGCAATTTTCGAATTCTACTTCTCTCTCTCTCTTTTTTTTAGAGTTGTTAAATTGCAACTAAAATCTCACCTCCCGAACTTTCACCCTTTCGCAGTTTTCCAGTCCCGCCAGATAATATAACTGTTAATGAATTTAAGTTCTGAACGCCAAGATCCAGTTGAATACCGGCAGTTACTTATACCTAAATATTAATGGTTGACGAGAATCTTTAACTTGCCTTGGACGTTTTCAATAGTTTCCACATCTATGTCTCCAAGGCCCACTTTTCTAAGCCCATCTCGAATTGTCTTAACCTAAGCATAAATAGAGATAAAGAGTCAGGGCGGATACTACTAGATATACATTAATACCAATTATGGCATTATTTGTAGACAATGTCAACGAACAGACTGATGATTTTTGAGGGAAAATTACTCTGACTATAAAAGGTTTCTGACGGCGCCAAAAGTAGAAGTGGCATTTTCTAAATGAAGATGGTTTGCTTGTTAAAAAAAATGAGCCTTTTAGATTTCTTCCCTTGACGATAGATGCCTTTGACATAACGTCCCATAGTTCTTTCTTCTCAACACTAACCTCTGGCAATTGGAAAGAAGTGTTCTACCTGATAACTATATGATGACACCACTGCAATTTGACTGAGGTTCTTTGTTCTCCATTCTTCAGGCCAGCATTCGGATAGTTCCTTGACTCGTTTCACAACTTCGTTTACTTCTGCCAAGTTGCGAAAAGAGGCACTGGTCTCGTCGAATTCTTCGTTTCCAAGAGCAGCAAAAAATAGGAGCGGTCCTAAACTAGGATGAAGAGGCTGGTCGCTACCTGAAGTTAGCCGACCTCCGTAAAACATGTCGGACGAGAACTGAAGCACCCGTTTATTTGAGCGGTAGTTTTCTGTTAGCAGGATAAGATTTGGGTCCAATGTTGGTTCCTTTCGACGCTGCTTGTAGTCGTAAAATAATCTTTCCTGTAAGGAAATTTGAAATCCCCACTCCTTTGCCTGTGGCGAGAACACATCAGGACTCATCTACAAATAATTAAAAAGCGCACTCAATTATAGGAGGGCAATATAACATCAAGGACGTTTCGTTTATATGTTGCAGTTTCAAATGGAGCTTTCACTGAAATTTACAGAAATTAAGTCTTGACGATACCTGCATATTATCAAGAACAGTCAAACTAAATAATCAGGAGAACATTGTCAAAAGCTGAAATACTATAAACTAATATTCGTAAGAAATTACATCTATACTAAAACCTTGACTAAAACCTTGACTTAAAGTCAAAGTTTGCTACACCCAGCTTTCGTCGGTAAAAAGTTTAAAACCTCAGCCGACCTTAAAGGTCAACAAGTTATAATGAAACCTTCAGCACTTGTTGTTGATCCATCCGTCGCCACCGTTTTTGCATGCTTGCAGCAGCTCAATTTTAACGTCCCTGCCTAAAGTTACCGTCAAATTCCGAAAATAAGCCCCTCCAAATATAATCCCCCTAGGCGGGTTCAACGTGTAAAATACCATTAGAGTCAAGGAACCGCTAGTTATGGTCTAGTGAACGATGCCACGTTTGCTTGGAGGGTACGTTGTTGCTAAGAGACTTTTTGCAAAAACGGTAAATTTACTTCCAACTATAAGGCTAGCGCAATCGATTTTGAAACGCAAATTTCCCTCCGTAGATAAGCCTCTCCGAATATAAGCCCCTCCAAAAATAAGCCCCTCAAAAAGGGCCTTTGAAAAATATAAGCCCCGGGGCTTATTTTCGGAATTTTACAGTACTTCTGTTCAAGAATCAATCGAAAGTAGAACCTTCTTCTTGATTAGGTGAGAAGCCTTCAAAGTTTGGAAGAGTGATAAGTACCTGCATATGGTCTCCAGTGAAAATCACTTTGGTATTGTTTCCTGCTAGTGTCAGTGGTGTTAACGTTTCCGTCTCCAAGGCCTGTGCAGCTTCATCGATTAAAATGTGTGAGAAATATCCACGATGAAGATGCATATCAAAAAGAGCTCGTGACATTGCGAGAGTTGATATGATAACTCTATGACGAATCACCTCCTCACGAGTTGGAAGTCTAAATGCCTCTGTTGGCTTTCCTCGGTCAGAGATAGGGCAGTATCCCTTTACAATGTCTGATACGGTGGACAGTTTTCGTAAAGGGGTGTAGATTCTCAAAGGCTTACATGCCGCTATACCGTGTTCCTTTTTCAGGTATGTATCAAGCAACTTCACGTGTAAATCTGCCGCGCTGTTTGAGTGTGTGCAAAGGAGTACTCGGTTATTTTGGTTCACCGAAATACGACGAATGGCTTGATTCAGGGTGAATGTTTTGCCAGTGCCAAAAGGACCAAAAACCACAAGAGGAGGAGAATCGATTGCAGGTGCAGCTATTTTCTTGATGATTTCTTTTTGATCTTCGTTTAAATTTGGATCAAGAATCCATGGAAGGTGTTGAATCTGAAAAAACATTGAAGAAAGACTGTGAAATTATACTAAGGCCCACAGACTGATTTGCTTTAAATAACATAACACTCGCCGGTATTGTAGAGGTCTGGGTTCGAATCCCGGCAAGCGTAATTTTTTTCAGGCTTTCCCATAAGTTTCGTCTTTAACTGTGATGATCTTCTTTGCATTATTACTCGCTCATTATATGTATATGTCGAAATCGTGAAGAACTTTCACCACACTATAGATCACTATAAATTATCAATGCAAAAAGACCTGAAATCTTCATTTCATAAGTGACGACCCTAATAACGGCTGCGTAGTTTTTTTCCGCTCATTCTCATTCGATCTCAGACTGATATACTTGTACTAGAGACCTTTAGATTCGAGGATGAGCACTACTACGAGGAGGATATTTAACCGTTTTTTTTTTTTCGTGTATCCTCCAAAAAAGATACCCCTGCTTTATTTCACCCGAAAAGTTGGCATTATTATTATTATATTATTTCTTTGGACGGAGGTTCAGCCCTCTCCCTATTCCAAAATAATAAAACTTCTCAGTAGCATTTGATAACTCGTTTCCGCTACTACGCCAATCTCGTCAACACTCGTAGTAGGATAGCTATCACGTTTTCTCGCCAAAATGACGCTGATTCACGTGCACGCATTAATAAGTATTGAAAATCTCGTATTCATAGTCGTACTCGTCTTAGAATGTAAAGGTCGATACTAACGAGTTTTAGTGGGAAATTTTGTGCTTTACCTTATCTTCCAAACCAACGCTTAGCTCTGGAAACAGTATTCTAAAATGCTCTGGTCCCAGCCTGTCAATGTTATCGTGCATCTCACAAAGAGGAAGCCGATTGATGTGAAACTGGACGTCCACTGTTATGAAGCCA